TGACAGGTAAGCTTCTATCATGGATGAAAAATTTTCTGACTGATAGAAAAATGAGGGCAGTAATCAGAGGCAATGTATCAGAATGGAGAAATGTCACAAGTGGAGTACCACAGGGTTCAGTTCTTGCACCAGTGATGTTTATTGTGTACATAAATGATCTACCAGTTGGTATACAGAATTATATGAACATGTTTGCTGATGATGCTAAGATAATAGGAAGGATAAGAAATTTAGATGACTGTCATGCCCTTCAAGAAGACCTGGACAAAATAAGTATATGGAGCACCACTTGGCAAATGGAATTTAATGTTAATAAATGTCATGTTATGGAATGTGGAATAGGAGAACATAGACCCCACACAACCTATATATTATGTGAGAAATCTTTAAAGAATTCTGATAAAGAAAGAGATCTAGGAGTGGTTCTAGATAGAAAACTATCACCTGAGGACCACATAAAGAATATTGTGCAAGGAGCCTATGCTATGCTTTCTAACTTCAGAATTGCATTTAAATACATGGATGGCGATATACTAAAGAAATTGTTCATGACTTTTGTTAGGCCAAAGCTAGAATATGCAGCTGTTGTGTGGTGCCCATATCTTAAGAAGCACATCAAAAAACTGGAAAAGGTGCAAAGACATGCTACTAAGTGGCTCCCAGAACTGAAGGGCAAGAGCTACGAGGAGAGGTTAGAAGCATTAAATATGCCAAAACTAGAAGACAGAAGAAAAAGAGGTGATATGATCACTACATACAAAATAGTAACAGGAATTGATAAAATCGACAGGGAAGACTTCCCGAGACCTGGAATTTCAAGAACAAGAGGTCATAGATTTAAACTAGCTAAACACAGATGCCGAAGAAATATAAGAAAATTCACCTTCGCAAATAGAGTGGTAGACGGTTGGAACAAGTTAAGTGAGAAGGTGGTGGAGGCCAAGACCGTCAGTAGTTTCAAAGTGTTATATGACAAAGAGTGCTGGGAAGACGGGACACCACGAGCGTAGCTCTCATCCTGTAACTACACTTAGGTAATTACACTTAGGTAATTACAGGTGGAAACTGAGTGCCCAAATGAGCCATAGAGATATTAGAAAGAGCTTTTTTAGTGCCAGAGTGGTTGACAAATGGAATGCATTAGGAAGTGATGTGGTGGAGGCTGACTCCATACACAGTTTCAAGTGTAGATATGATAGAGCCCAATAGGCTCAGGAACCTGTACACCTGTTGATTGACGATTGAGAGGCGGGACCAAAGAGCCAGAGCTTAACCCCCGCAAGCACAACTAGGTGAGTACTCACGGGGACCTAGCAGGGGGCACTACCAGAAGAGAACCGTGCTCAGGTCAGGCACAAAGGGGCAACACAAGGCAGACCCCCTAACCAGGCAAAAACAAAAAGTAAAAGAAAACCCCACAAGAGGACAACATACCTAAAAGGAACAGAGCCAGCCGCTATGAATGGTGAAAATAAGCTGCGCAGCACACTGCGCCCCTTACCAGTGCAAACTGCAATATTGGTTTTCTTGATTTGGTAAACGAAAACAATAAATGTTTATTGTCGCAATATTACTTGTTAACCCTTAACCCCTTAACTGCGTTGCCTCCAAATATGACACCCCCCCCCAGTGCGCAGGAAATAAAATCTCTGGAAATTTTTTTTTGTCTGTTTTGAAAGTGTCAAAAACCCTTCCCTGAGTATGGGTATAGTAACAGAAGGTCGAAATTGTACGTACAGGCATACCTCAGTTTAAGAGTTTAATTGGTTCCTGGAGACGCCTCGTATTCCGAAAACTCGCATTCCGAAGCTAATTTCCCCATAAGAAATAAAGGGAAATGAATTAATCCGTTCCTGACTACCCCAAAAACCCCACATCAAACTAAATTTTTATACCTAATTCATCTAAATAAACCTACAAAACTATGTTCAAGTTATTACTTACCTTGCTGTTGAATGCTGTAGGCGTATGGAAGATGGTGAGGAGGTGGGAGGAAGAGAGGAGTTACTGTTTGGAAGGGGAGTCCCCTTCCATTATCACATCAGGCAGTGAGGACTTCACTGGTATGCACACTCTGGCACATTTTGCCTGCATACCACTAGGACTTGCTTGTTTTACTAAGAATTTGTCTAAAGACACTTGTTTTTCCCTACATTTTAACACTTGTCTGTAGTAAGACATCACATTATCATTTAAAAGGTCAATGCAACGGCCTGCTACAGCTTTATCTGGATGAGTTTTTTCAACAAAACTTTGCAGTTCTTCCCATACTTCACACATTTTCTTAATCAAGAAGGGACATCCTCTACTGCCTCTACTCACAGCTATTTTCTTAGGTTGAACCTTACCAATGGCTTTCTTGAGACCCATGGCAAGATATATAATGACAACTTTTATGCTCAAATGGCCAAAAAAACGATAAAAAACTGTAAATCCTTGTGAAGAATTCAGGTGGGATAGTCACTGGACACGAGACACTGGTAAACTGAGGTGCGATCGCCATGCCACCACGCGCCAGTCGGCCTGTACACGTATCAACAAACTCGCGTCCCGAGGTAACCCTCGCCTTCCGAGACATATTTTTGGAGTAAATCCTGCTCGTCTTCCGAAAAACTCGCATACAGGGACACTCGCATTCCGAGGTACCACTGTACTTTGGCTGCTACGGGGGCCGTAAGTTCGTGCGTGACATCATCATTCCCTGGTCGCCAGTGGTGTACGCCCCCGGGGCCGGAAGGGCGCTCGGGGTAGAATGCGCGAGTTGCCGCAAATATATTTTTGTTCATTTTCTGCTCACAGTTCAAATACATTTTATATGCTTTTCTGTGCCAATCCTATGTATAATGAACACGTACACTATATTATGGCAGTAGAACATCCATACTGTCTGAAGATACTGTGTTATGTGCATGACACATGTGTACACATATCCGGCACATATTTCCATTATATTATGCTAATTTATGTATATATACAGTCTATTTACACACTATACACTATCACACACTATATACATTCACCATGAACACACTCAGAACTCTGCGAGTGTCAGCTGCCACACCCTCACTCCTCCAACATCCAGTCTCTCCCTCACTCCTCCAATATCTTACTCGCCAACATTGCTCCTCCCACCATACTGTTATTGTTTGTATTACAATATTTACACATGTTATGCATACCTATCTACATATTTTATTCACCAGAACTATGCAAGTAAGCCGGTATTGTGTCCAAATTTTACAGTGGCCACCATACACTGCATGAGAAATCATACAGCAGCCAGCAGACGACGCTGCGATTACGTAACCTCCCTCACCAAAATAGCTCCTCCCAACATACTCCTGTTGCTGTTACTACACTATATACACACATTGTATATACCCATGTACAAATGTGTTCACCATAGCGAACCACTAAACTAGTATGATGAGCAAAACAAGAGTGGCTGCCACACAGTGAGACTACCTCGATTCTCTCCCTTGCTCCCTCACCACAATTACTCCTCCCACAATACTACGCACAGTGCTTATTGTCACCAAAATCCTGCTGTTATTACAATACTGGTCACTAAATCCTGTAAATACATAATTGACCACAAGTTTATTTTGTAAAGGAACCTAAGAAGTCGTTTGAAGATTCTTAGAGGGCCGAAATAATGCTGTGGTGCTGTGGCTAGTGTATGAACATCGTGAACAGCATTGAATCACTAATATTTGAACATTGTGCACAGTCATTATCACACTCAGGCTCTTCTGAAATACTATCATGACTAAATAATGCAAGTTATATATATATATATTTTGACATTATTAGGCGATGCTCTGGTCACAAGCTGAACAGCAGTGCTGTGAGCTCATGCTGCGTGCACCGGCCTTGGTTGCTCACTCACTACTGAGGCTCTCACACTTGGGAATGTGGACCACGATTTTTTTTAAAGATGGCGTCTGTTTACAAGAGCCCTGAGGAAGCTGATGTGAACCCCATGTAGCTGCGGGAGTTTTGAAAGAAACGTGAAAAATATAAATATCCGGAGGCGCGTAGCGCACCCCAGACGTGGGCCTGCAGGCGCGTTGTGCAGTTAAAGGGTTAATACTTACTTATATTGTTGGACCCTCTAAACTTAGACCAGCTTGGTTATTACTGGCTAAGGGAAAGCCATTTGCTTTCCTCCTCTCCCATCAGGTTACATGTCTTTAACATTTTAAACCATTCCTATTGTATTCTCATTGTTTTCTGTAGCTCGTCATTTATGTTTCTTGGTACACTACTGCCTTAACCCCAAGAGAGTAAGGCTGTGAAACAGTCACAATCATCATTTCTCCATCTCTTCTATACCAAAATCACACTCACTGAAATTTATATAAGGCAGCTCTAAACCTATTGAAATATTCAATATATATATATTATAATCCAATGCCATGCAACTTGAAGTTTAATCACATGAGATATATGTAATGGGATCTCCGTCAGTCAAAGGCGAGTGGTCCAATGCTAAATTATGCTCAAATTACTATAATACATGTTATACAACAATGATGAGCAACACTTATTTAAAAATGATCAGTTGGTCAAATGGGTGTGTGGGTGCATGGATGAGTGTGCACAGGCAGGCAAGCTTGTGGGTGGGTGTGTAGGCAAGAGTTGATATGCAACTGGTCTATTGATAAAAGCAACTGGTCTATAGTTCAATGTATGGATAAAAAGAAAACAATATAAATTTTCTTGTCATTCTACACTTTAGGTAAGATGTGTTGTGATGATATAAGCATGCAGAAAAATAAAGGAAATAAAATTATTAAGACTGTTTGTACAAGATAAGCAATAACTTGCATGACACCAACAGGTTGAGCCCACAAAGCGTTTGTGTATAATGAAATTGTTAAAATAAATAAATATACGAATACACAGTGATTATGGTTCAGTTGTAAAGAACGTCCTCCCTAGTAGTTTCTATAATATAGAAAATCCCAATGCTAAGAGGATAAAAATTAATATCTAACCTATGCTTAAAGTGCTGGCAGATGAAGTCTTGAGCAAAGCGAACTAGGCGTGGACAGGAAAACTGCTGAGCAAATTGAAGTATTCCCAAGCAGTTGTCCACATCAATCCTGGCCATCAGGAACCTTATACACAATTCCTGCATAAGAGGAATGAATGAATGAATATGAATAAATAAATAAATAAATAAATAAATAAATAAACCAGCATTGAATGTAACTGAAATGCCTTTTTCTGTGTGAGACCAGGAGGCTCCCCAGAGCTAACTGGGCTGATATAACTATATTAGACCCTGCCATCAGAAGCACAAGGAGCAATGGCCTATAGAAACCCCCGTGTGGTTGGAAGCATTCTATGTCTGGCATCGACAAGGTCAGGCACCCAGAAATGTAAGCGCCCCAAAACAAACCCCTATTCTGGTTAAAATATTGCTACTGAAAGCCGAACTAGTGGACAGAACTCCCAAAATGAAACGAGCAAACGAGCATGACGTCACCACGTTGCCGTGCCACTGTCTGTGCAACCCCCTCCCCCTTCCCGGGAGGGGGGAAGGGGAAGCCCCATACCCCAGCGCTGGCTATCCACACCCCAGTTCTGAGGCTGGATGTTAACATATGCAAAAAACCATCAACCAGAGGGAGGGAAGGTTGCCGGGAAGCCTCCGGATCTCACCCAGAAAAAAGGTGTTTCATTACATTCAATGCTGGTTTTCTGGGGAATCCCCTTCGGTTCCCTGGAGCTACTTACGCAAAGACAAAACAAGAGGGACTTTCCTCGGGAGGAGGTCAGTCTCCTAAACGCGAAGTCGAGACAACTGGCTGCAACCGCCAACCTAATGCGACACAGGCCCGAGTAGGCCCAGGAAAGTTGACAAGGTAGCGAGCAGCCAGGACCCTGTTCGACCTCCAAAAACTTCGTGCCCGAATGTCAGCCCAAGACATGTTGCCGAAGACGGCAGCCATCGCCGCAAACTTACGAATGACGAATGTCATAGGCACGAGGATAGACCAAATAACCCTGCGGACGACCTGCTAGACCCGAACCCTTGAACAGGGAAGAAAGGAAACCGGGTCAACCCAAAGCGCGTCCCCGGCCACCGAAACCATGGCGCAAGGGTAACGGCAGAGCCGCAACCAGACAACACATGATACACCCCAAGCCTGACCAACGAAGTATCAACAACCCAAGGACCCCTCCGAAAAGCAGCAGTGTCATTCTTTGCCAGAAAAGGAGATGGCTGCAAACGAACAAACCTACCACCAAGACAAAAAGAGCATAAACCCCTGCGTCGGAGGAGAGCATGAAGCTCCCCAACCCGACCCCTTCCTGTTGGCATTGGCCCCGAGGCCAATGCCAACAGGAAGAGAGCTTTGGAAAATCAATCCTGAACCGAAGGGGCCACAACAACCGAAGAGAAGAGAGAAAGGAGAGCACCCGGTCCAAACCCCAGGACGGCTCAGGCAGCGCATGAGCAGGCCGAAGGTGAAACACTGCCCAACAGCTCAGGGAATGGTGTAGAAGTAACATCAACAATGAACACAAGCAGCAGCAACTCTGACAGCGCCACACGATTGGTGACAGTCTTTGGCATAAGATGATGGTCCTGGAACAACCACGAAATGAAGGACAAGACAACTCTATCAGAGACAAATGTAAACCTGCGAAGGGACAAGAAATAATGGAAGGACAGCCAGAAAACTTCATACTGCCACCGAGACGAAGCACTAAGGTGGGACACCATCAATGAGGCCACCTGTTCACCATACAAGTGGTGATAGACCCACATCAGAAAGACCAGAAGCGAAGACTGGAGGAGAAGATCGAACCAGCCATGTAACAGACTGGCCCGATCTGCTAAAAGAGGCAGAGCCGCGAGAAGACACCACAGTGGGTTCGGACACCAAGCAAGCATCGCCTGAAACCAAGGCCGGCCACCAAGGAGCCAGAAGGACTACACTCCCTTGGTAAGTCTCCATGCAAGCTAGGACCTGGAGTAATAGCGGAACTGGGGGGGGGGGAGGGGGAAGAGGTACAGGTAACCCCACCACGACCAGTCCAGCCTGAAGGCATTGACCCCAATGGCCTCACAGTCGGGGAAGGGCGCCACATACACTGGGAGACACCTCGACCACGCCGACATGAAGAGGTCCGGCAGAGCCAACTGAACGAGTCAGTGTTGACCGCCCATTCTGTGAACAGGAGAATGAACCGAGACAGGCCATCCGCTAGGCTGATGGACACCCCCGAACCGTGAATGGCCAGGAGAGCCAAACCCCGAGAACTCAGCAAACGAGTCACCCGAAGCGACCAGCCCCAAAGAGCCAAGGACCACATCGAACCCCCTGTCGTTCAGGCAATTAACCACCGGGAAGCAGTCTGAATGGAACCTAATCGTCGATCCGCGAGTGACTCAAACCCTCCGAATCGATATCCACACCACCATGAATTCCTGCATCGTGCTGTGGGGCCGACGGAGGGATGGACCCAACCGTCACTGGCCGGCCTGGTGAGCACTGGTCAAAAAGCCCCAGTCAAGAGACGATGCATCCGTGTACACATCAAGCGAGGACTCGAGCAGGTGCCAAGGCACTGAACCCCAAAAACCCGAAGAGGAAGTCGGTGATGCTGTAACCCTGGTGCCCCACAACAAAACCGAGCCAGTCCCCGAACCTCGGTTCAATTGGGATGTGCCAATAAGCATCCCGGAGGTCCAGGGACACCATCCAAGCCTTGGCTCCAAAGGAAAATGGACCTGGGATAGAGTAGTTATCCGAAAGGAGGCGCAATAAACCCACAGGTTCAAACAGGACAAGTCCAGAATGAACCTGAGGTCTGCACAGTTCCGTTTCGGAACCGGAAACAGGCGGGAAACACACTGGAGGGACGACGATGCCCAAGCGAACCCACTCCGAGATGACCCGACAGAGTGCAGGAGAAGAGGCCTGCCCTGCCAACCCCGAACCTCCCGAAGGAGGAGGGGGCTACCCAACCCCACCACAGGCCGCAAAAAACGCCCTGAAAGGCCTACAAATCATGATACCAGGGGTGAGCAAACAGCGAGCCTTCCCATCAATGGGACGAACCATGAAAGGGCTGACATCCCTTAAGTGAATACAACCTCCACACAGAGCGATCAGACGATCAGATCACACTCGTGCCAAGCAGACGAACATGCTTCCAAAAGCGGCATTGATTCAGAAACTGGCACCGCTGGCTTACTATGATGAGAGGACCCCGAGCCTCAACAACCCTTCTGGGAAGAAGGGTTGTGCCCGGCTCCCCCTCCCGCTTCCCCTCCTCCTTGGTCGGGGGGGGGGGGGGGGAGAGAGAGAGAGAGAGAGAGAGAGAATTTTTCACTAACAAGTGGGTGTACTGGTTAGAGTTGAAAATTGCTAGTTTCTTTTCATTTCTTTTCTTTTCTTTAGGACTTTCTTAGGCTGCAATTTTACCAGCTAGTTGTTTGTTTTGGTTTGCCTATCTTTCTGGGTAAATGCCTCAGTCGATGGCAGAATACAACATACTGTACTTTGAATGTAAAGTGTTCATATGCCATTGCTCCCTGTGCCTCTCTGAGGTGGGCCAGGTTCTGGCACGGGGTCCCCAGTAAGCATAAGAACTCCAAGAGACTGATGACCCTAAACTAATAAGGCACACATATTAATTTGGTTAGCTTTAGGGAGCCGATAGGGCTCCACCCCCCCCCCCAGAAAACATTATCAAGCTAGACCTAATGTAATGCAATGAATTGTGACATTGCACAGGTGACATGGCAATCAAACTTATGAATGTAGATATGCAGCACTAACACCTTAGCCTGGGACCAAGTTCCAAGGCACTGCAAAAGTAGTGGACAAAACTTAAAAAAAAATACCACTATTGAGGCACTATCCAATCCAGCACAGAGAAGATAAGCCAGTATGGCCATCAAGTAATAAAATCCTTAGACATACAATGACTTTGTATCCGTGGACCCCAAGATGCATCTACTAACAGCACAAGTCATTTTACCCTAAATGGTAATTACATCTTAAGTGTTAATATAATAATCTTATCTAAAGAATATTCACTCAAAACAATAACAATCTAACTAACCTTTAGATCTGTCATGAGGAGGAGATCACTTGCTTGTAATATGTCTTGAATGTTATCATTATCTAGAATGACTCTGCCCGTGTAAATAAAGTCCAGTATAAGTTCAAATGTTTTGCAGGCAATGTCTAACCTTGGCTCAGTTGTACGGTGCAAGCCACCTTGTGATTCTTCCTCAAATTCAAAGAGAACCCTAAAATATAAAACAAATTTTGAGATTGATGTGTAAAATAAAAATCAAGAGTTAAATGTAATGAAACACCCTGTTCTGCTGGTCAACTCAGTAACTCCCTCTAGTTTTAGCAACTTTCACTGCTAAGCCATGGTGGAAATGCACCAGACCTCCAAAATTCACTTGAGCCTACCAGAAGCCAAGGTCAGAATATGGTTCTCTCTAAGAGGCAAGGGAAGTTTTGAAGTTGATCGACCCAAAATTGAAATAATACCCACCAGGAATATAAATAATTCAAAACGAGCAATCGCTGGTAGGAAAATAATAACCCTGAAGAAAACAAGACAAACAATCATTGCTGCTAAGTACATGCCCAAAATGTGATGTGCCAAACTGCCATTAGATGCCAGTCCAGGTCACTCAGGATATCCCTGCCACCTCACCAAGAAAGCCAACCAGAAAGTTAGCGAGTCAAAACAAACTACAGGTACTGCTGGCTTCAAACTAGACCAATGCATTGGAACCTGCCAAAAGAACATCTCAACTATGTAAACAAGTGACTGAATTCTCTTGGAACTAGCATGAGCTTGTTTGCCCCACCTCCCTACTTATTTATGGGGAAGAGGAGGAGGGAGGAAGCTCACTGCCAGTCATTGTCCCAGCTCCCAGTTCCTGAGCCATCCGATGATAAGAAAGGAAGGGTACAACTCAAGGAACCAATGAGGCTCACCCAGAAATTGGAGTTTTATTACATTAAATTTAATTTTTTTAAATTTTTCCCCAAGGGGCGAGTTTATTGGGCAGCGCCACTCATCTTGTGAGTGGACATACCGCCATAGCAGCATGTACAACACTCCCCAATAGGAAGAAAACCCGCTGGGTTGTTTATCCTGTCACTTGTACCCAGACACAGCTGGGACTTGCTTAACTGTCTCAAGTGAACAGCTCCTCAAACAAGAAGATTAACATCTATCAACCTTTAAAAGCTTACATTATCTTGCGGGTGCAAAATGGGGGAATCTTTTAAGAACAGTATCAATATTTGACAAATAGTGTTTTCCTAACTCAAACAATGTGGGGTTTATTATTCTACACATAGTTCTGATTTCTCTCAGGTGTTCACATTCACGTAGATAGTGTTCAAGGCGGTGTCCATCACTCTCACCACAGATTCTACAACTTCGCTGATCAACTGTTGTTTCCATTCCATATCTCCATGGATATTTGTATCAAAGACGGATTCTCGCTATTACTGATTCTCTCCCTCGTCCTCCTCCTCTTCGGCCATAATGACTGGGATTGCCAGCTGCAACCATGTTGTACCATCGTACAGATTCACTGGTTTGTGCTTCTATCCTCCTTTCCTCAGTTACCTTGTCACGGTGATGTTGCCTGACAATACCTCTAATTTGTAGTAGAGTCTTGGGTATGAAGTATTCAATATGGTCTCCTTCAGCGCCTTCAGCAGCCAGCACATCTGCTCGTTCATTCCAACATAATCTAACATGGGAGGGGATCCACTGAAACTTGATAACTCTTCCCTGATTGGTAAGTACTCTCACAGCACTCTTAATTTCAGCGACTATTGCAAGACTTTCTGCCCGATGAGGCAGAAAATCGATTTTATTACATTCAATGTAATAAGGCCCGATGAGGCCCGATTTTATTACATTCAATGCTGGTTTTCTGGGGAAACCTTTTTTTGGCTCCCTTAAGCTAACTATCCACATAGAAGGAAACACTTAGAAACTCACCAGGAGAGGAAGCACTGCAGAAGACAAAACGAAGATGAAACCCCCTGGCCAAGACATATGACCCAGAGCCATACAAGGGCACCAAGTCCCGGGAACATTCACCAGATACCAGGCTGCCAGAACTCTGTTCAACCTTCAAAACCCCCATGCCCTAATATCAGCCCAGAACATGTTTATGAACACCGCCGACAGAGCAGCATACCTGCTTGATGGGGTTCTGGGAGTTCTACTCCACAAGCCTGGCCCGAAGCCAGGCTTGACGTGTGAGAGTTTGGTCCACCAGGCTGTTGCTTGGAGCGGCTTGCAGGCCCACATATCTACCTCAGCCCAGTTGGTCCGGCACCCCTTGAAGAAAACTATCTAGTTTTCTCTTGAAGATGTCCACGGTTGTTCCATCAGTATTTCTTATGCTCACTGGGGGTATGTTGAACGACCGTGGACCTCTGATGTTTATACAGTGTTCTCTGATTGTGCCTATGGCACCCCTGCTCTTCACTGGTTTTATTCTGCATTTTCTTCCATATTGTTCACTCCAGTATGTAGTTTTTTTTACTGTGTAGATTTGGGACCTGGCCCTCCAGTATTTTCCACGTATATATTATTTGATCTCTCTCTCTCGTCTCCTTTCTAGTGAGTACAATTGGAAAGCTTTGAGACGATCCCAATAATTTAGGTGCTTTATCGTATCTATGCGTGCCGTATATGTTCTCTGTATTCCCTCTATTTCAGCAATCTCTCCTACTCTGAAGGAGGAGGTGAGTACTGAGCAGTACTCAAAATGGGACAGCACATGTGATTTGAAGAGTACAACCATTGTGATGGGATCCCTGGATTTGAAAGTTCTCGTAATCCATCCTATCATTTTTCTGGCGGAGGCAAAATTTGCTTGGTTATGCTCCCTAAACGTTAGGTCGTCAAACATCGTTACAAAGCACCACTTGGTTTCCGAGCCCCTTGGGGATGAGACCTGTCGGTTATCATGTCAGTTCGTAAACGAGAAATGGAGGAAAATGGAGAAAAAACCAGCGTTGAATGTAATGAAACGCCATTTTCTGGGTGAGACCCGGAGGCTCCCCGGAGCTTTACCGACTGATATGCTAATGTCAGACTTTGGCATCAGTCATGTGTATGGAGTTCTAGGGCCTACCGGGAACCACGGCCAGAACCTGGCCCCCTCAGAGAGGCAAGGGGAGCAATGGCCTATAGAAACCCCCGTGTGGTTGGAAGCATTCTATGTCTGCCATCGACCGGGTCAAGCATCCAGAAAAGTAAGCATTCCAAAACAATCCCCTATTCTGGTGAAAATTGCTACCTAAAGCCAAACTAGTGGATAGAACTCTTCAACAGAAAACAAGGAAACTAGTATGACGTCATACGTCACCGCGCCGCTGTCTGCGCAGCTCCCCCCTCCCCGGGAGGGGGAAGGGGGAGCCCCAGACCTCCCACGCCGGCTATCCACCCATCAGTTCTGAGGCTGGATGTCAAAACATGCGAAAAACCGCCGACCGGAGGGAGGGAGGGTTGCTGGGGAGCCTCTGGGTCTCACCCAGAAAATGGCGTTTCATTACATTCAACGCTGGTTTTCTGGGGGGAGCTAACTACCCACAGAGGAAGGTCAAAGGGACAGAACCGGGATGCGGACACCACGCACCCCCCACGGAGGCAAGACAACCGGCAGCAAACGCCAACCCAAGGCGCCACAGCCCCGAAAAGTCCCAGGAACAACACGAGAACAACGAGCAGCAAGGCCCCTGCACGAACACCAAAAATCCATGCCCGAAAGACCACAAGGCCACGTCGCCCAGACGGCAGCGAGAACAGCGAAGCCACGAACGCCACAGGCATGAGGGAAGAACACAGGCAGCTTAACCGCAAGAACATGGCTGACCACCCGGGACACCATCACCCGCGAACCGGGAAGAACAGAACCGGATCAACGCAAAACGCGCTCCGGACCCAAACGCCGTGGCACGCAAACAACAGCGGAGGGCCGCCACTGAACACAAAAAACGACACCATCAAAAACCCCGCCCCAAACCTACAGACGGTAAGGAACCGGATGCAGGCAGGAAGGGTGATCCAGGGGAAAGACAAGGGGGCGTGGATGGAACCGAAGCAACCAACACCCCCAAGTCCCAAAACGAACTACAACGGGGCAGCCCTGGGGCTCCCGGGGAGGAAACCACGAGAACGTTGCCACCACCAAGGCTCAAGTGCAACGCCCCTGCTGCCTGCACCCGCTTTGTCAGCACAACTGGGTAACCGAGCCACAACGAGCAACCAAACTCGCAGGACTCCGGGTCGAAGGTGTCACCGACCCCACAGGCAGCAGACGGAGGCAAAACAGAGAGTCACCCAGAGACAAAGGGGTGAGCGCAACCCTCAAACTCGCTGGAAGCGAGGGGGGGACTCTGGGGTCACATCCATCGAACCCGCGTGCCCCCAGGGGTTTCCCAGGGTCCCGAGCGTTTACTATAAGAGGACTCGCGCTCAGGTAATCCCAGGCAGGGTATTGCTAACCGGCACCCAAAGCTACCAAACAACTTTCTAAGAGCTGAACCCCTGGGACGTGTACACTCACGGGGACCTAGCAGGGGTACCACCAGAAAATACTCAGAACACAAGGGACACAAGGGGCAAGAACGAAGGCAGACCCCCCCCCCACCAGGTAGATAAACAAAAAGAAAAAGAAAACCCCACAAGAGGACAGCGTACCCAAGTGGAACAGAGCCGGCCGCTATGATTGGTAAAGACAAGCTGCACAGTACCCTGCGCCCCACCAGTGCAAAAACTGCCCCTTACTCTAAGGCGAACAAGGGAGACAGAACACCCGAGCACACAAAGAGCGGCCGAAAACCAAGCAGTAAACGGCCAAGCAGGGGCAGGACCCAAGGAACTTGTGGAAGGTGGCCCCAAGCCCCAAGGGCAGTACTTACAGGGCACCTAGGGAAGGGAACCCTAGGCGCATGCAGCCCGAGTACTGGAGAATCACTCCCGGCTCACGCACCACCTAGAAAACAAACACCACACTCTAGGTACAGTGCTGAAACAACCACTGGAGCCGGAGCACATAACCGGTGCCTATAGCATCAGCCGAAGAACTGATGGGTGGATAGCCGGCGTGGGAGGTCTGGGGCTCCCCCTTCCCCCTCCCAGGGAGGGGGGAGCTGCGCAGACAGCGGCACGGTGACATATGACGTCATACTAGTTTCCTTGTTTTCTGTTGAGTTCTATCCACTAGTTTGGCTTTAGGTAGCAATTTTCACC